ACCTAAAGACTGCGTTGTCCACGACCAGCAATTGGTATGCGAAACTCGTTCGTTGTGAAGCATTGCCCACTTTTGAGTACTATGAAGACAGTGCATTTTTCTCCTATACAGCTCCCGTACAGACTGCAACTACAGACACGTTGAAATCATAAATGTGCATTAGTGACGTTGGGCCTAAATGCCCTCTCCAGTTTGAGGAAATTCACCAACCAAAGTCCCAGGTTCACGGATTCCTTTTAAGAAACCAGCCATATACATCCGCTCTGAGACAAATTGTTAGCTGCTCAGACGTCCTGTACGATGAGAAGCAGTGTGTCTCTGTACTGTTTTACCTTATAATGGTAAAATATAGAAGAGCTAACTGGATTTCTAAAGTCAAACACAGCTATAAAGTGTTCTTTTAAAAATAAATCATTAGTCACTGCATCAGTTTTTATCAAATTTGCCCAATCTTACTTGATAATTCAGCATGATCGGCTCAGCAATCACCTCATTCAAGCTGTAAATTAAAACGTCAGACCTTCATGAACCAGCCAACTTACAGTTTACATAATTTTATGGCTCTGCTCATTTTCTTATAGGTAGCAGTTCTCATCCAGCTCATATTGCTCCTCATATTCAAAATGTTGTGTAATAAAGTGGGATATGAGGTAAAAATAGTGGTTCTCCCTCCTTCTATAGTATTTTAACTTTTTAATCCTTGGCAACAAATTTACAATCACTTATTTATTTACGAGTTAGTTAATGCATAAATCACTAGCAAGACTTTACTCCTGAAGTCCCACCCTTTGTTTAGGGAGGACGCATTCTCCAACAGACAGGAGGCGCAATCCCCCCAAATTATAAATAAGGTCAATGGATGTTGATAGTAGAGACATTTTAAAGCTTCAGAGTTGGTTAAAGCTCCCAGCACGTATTACGTAGTATGATTCAAACCGTTTCAACACATGAAAGTCGAATTCAAAATATTACAAGCCTTTCTTCACTTTATAATTGTCTTTCAGTTGCCCTCCCCTAAAACTGCGTGTGAGCTGTTCTGCGATGATGTACAAAAGTTTTATAAGGTTTCACAGACGACAGATTTAAATTACCTGGTGGAGGAAAGTTTACATGCTGCAGTGATGTTTGCCGAACAATATGGGCATCCGGTTCTGTATCCTGTGCCAGTTCGTTCATACTGAGAACACTCCTGTCAGATGAATGTAATTCCACTATGTCTACTCTAGAGGTCGAGCTGAAGAAGCTTTAAATTAGATCTGCTGAATACTACTGAACCGTAGCAGATCATAACATAAAAACAAGGATATAACAGTGTAGTTTCGGAGATGGGTAGCACTTGAGTAAAGTGTCTCAAGTGCCGATTAACCTAAATAAGGGCTGAACTAGGTGTCCACCAGATATGATTTGGTCTTATCAATGGCGCTCAGCGTCCCAAGGATGCAAGTCAGGCACTTCCTCCTGCCAAGAGGTAAACGCATATCGCCGCTATAATATAACGCTGAGTAATGTCCCCCACCCACCGCGCTCCATAATGATCAAATTGAGTGGCATAAAGTAATTGCAGAGGAACTCTAGGC